CAGTTAACATCTCCTCTAGCAAATTAAATCCTAAGATAACACCAAGCCAGCCATTCTTGAAGAGAACTGCAGCTTAAACAAGAACTGTAGTTACGAGCAATATATATTCCTCCTTTTTCCTTTCCTAGTCAAATAACTCTATAGCTTATGCTCATTTTGGCAACCTGCAAAGGTAACTACTTAATGGTAGGTTAAAAGTGCATGTAGGAAGGCTGTTCCACCACATGCAAAACTCACTGATAAGTTTGCGCATACCTGGCTGTTTTTTGAGTATCAAACAAGGTTTGGTGTGTGACACTAAAGTTTGTGTTGAATGTAAATTTGATTTATAACTAAAAAAAATAAATAAACACCCCATCCCCACCTTTTGAAGATATGAGTGTGGAATTACTGATGCTAAAAAGCATATGCTGTCTATAGCATTTTGGAGACTATTCTAATAAAAACCACCAAGTTTTCTTCCTGCCCTGTCCTTCCAGTGGATGTTACCACAACCCCCACTGTGCAAAAACCTCCACATTTGTCATTAAACAAGAAATTCAATGTGGACAATTGTTCCGTGCATTTACAACACATTACACTTGTGTCCTCATACACCAATCACACTTTGTATTAGTATAAAACACCACCAAAACATTAAGATCTATACAAAACTTTCTTTACTTCTATTACTTGCCTTAACAACATGCCTTATTGAACCAATCACTGCAGGCTTTAGAGATTTGCATTCATTTTGTTCTTCAGCAGTACCTCCACCCCAAATATCTGGGAATTCCACCTCTCCTTCTTCCAGGGGAATAGATGGGCCTTCAAAATTTGGTTTCTCATAGAGTATCCAGCTTAAAATAAAAAATTCTCATTTTTAATGGTGCTTTATCATGTGTGATTTGCAAAAATCATGCTCCCATTTAACAAATCCTTTCACAAGCAGTATTATTTTCAGACCTTTCCTGCCACCCCAATACAGCTTATTCGCCCAACGCTGCTGATGCAAGCCATTGCTGGTCTCTGCAATACTTTTAAAAGCAATGATAAAACAAAGATGCCTACTGCTGACTTTGTAATTTCATCAAAAACTTCTCCGCCTTTTAAAATTGATGATTTGGGGCAGCAAGACTACTGTCTATGAAGACCAGACTTTTGCATGAGATACTAATCAGAACCAATTTGTAGGTCAGAAAATGCTGACACTGCAGACTGCTATGTCATGTATAAACAGACAAGCTACTTGGATCCTGTGAGCAGCAGCCTGGAGTTCTACAGGAGCTGGTACAGACATGCTGAAGGATGATAAGACTGCTCAGAAGACAAGCACAACTTTATTTTTAATATCAGGTTTGAATACATAACTAGATAAAAACTGTATCCATCTACAAAACCCTCCCATGGAGCTCTTTGTTGAAGGAGAGGAAAAAACCCAGTCCCCTGGTCCATGCTGGAAAAGACGACCTGGTTCACACAGATCAACAGATTTTCATTCCAGTTTCCTGAAGCTAAACAGCAATCAGTTTGTTTCCCAGTACCTCCTAGTGCAGCTAGCTATCAGATCATTCCTTTTGAGAACCTGCTATTTGACTGTATTATAGCCTGGCCACAACTTAACTTAACATGCTATCCATAATAATGGCTGTTCTGTTTATGCTACGAAGAATGTAGGAGATGAACTTGTTTTGAATTGCTCTTAGGCAATCCAGTTTTTAGCGAAAAATTTCCTCTGGACTTAAGAGAGAAACAGTCATCTATCTCTACAACACCACCTTACACCTCTGGACACAGAACTAACCTTCTGCATCCAAAGCCATGTCAGGCCTGGCCTTAAAATCCTTTACCAGCCTTTTAGCCCAATCCAAACACTATGCAAGAACCCATAAAGGGAAGAGGAGTCAAAGGGCAGCATAGCTGGACAGAAAACATCATTTCATCCCACCCCTATGCCTGGCGAAATATTGCACCCCTCCAGATGGTTAACACTCACTCAATTTGTCAGAAAATTAAGTTTCCCAGCCCAGAACTTCCTACTGCAGAGGTAAAATGCCATATTTCTTGCTCAGAGGTGTCTACACTATATTGTCATTTGCAAGGCAGACTTACTGTGAATTACATGCTGGTTCTGTTTCAAAAGATTTTTGGGTAGACCAATGATAAAGAGCAAAAATTAATCTCTTACCATCCTCTGACGACTTTAACTAAAATTGTTGGTGACAGTATCCAAGAACTGCAATCCAGAACATCATGGAAAACTTCAATACCATTTTTTTGATAGTCTGATTCACAGTATATCACCAGCTGTGTTAAAAAAACATAAATAAAACACCAACAACGTGTAATTCTATCTTGCTATGCTTCAAATATAGAGAGGAACAGTAAAGGTAATAAAATCGATCTTACCTTGCCAGGTCTGGGATTGATTTTACTTTGTCCATTTCTTGAAAGTGCCTAATAAACAGTGGGGAGAGAAAAGTCACAAAAAAACTCCCAAACTAAAACATATTCAATAAAGATGTTTAGCTATAAAAATAGAGCTAGTAAGGCAAAATAAAAATTAGTCTGAATAGTAAAAAGCTGACAACACTTTGACTACACCTGCTTCCTGCTTCAATTCCTTCTTCCTCCTGAAGAGCAGAAACTTGCCACAAATTTACAAATTAACACAACTTTTTTTTTACACCCTGAATTATCATCTCACTGAAGCCAACTAACCTCTGACTTGAAATGCTTCTGATCAGCTTCCTATATATTCCAGGAGTTTCACACCAAGAGACTACTTAGAAAACTGGCATTAATAAAGTCCATACTATACCATGGTAAATATATTAATGAAAGTTTAAACGTCTGGTAACCACAGAGCATGAAATAATTATGAAGGAATATATTAAAAGACTGAGGAGGCATGACAGCATATACATGTACGAACTACTTAACATAATCAATTTTGTGCTGAACACCTTTAACAAGATAGGTCTCTTCAAAAAGCATGAGAGAATGTGCAGTAAGTGATAGACTAAAAAAGGCGAGAACAAAACACACTGAGGTATACAAAATCTAAAACAATGTTGAAGTCAGTAGCAAATTATATGATACAGAATATATGGGAAAGTCGTGGTTACATCACGTCATCTTAAAACAAATAAAGAAAGCGTGGCAATTATATGTCTGGAGTCCTAGGAGAGCAGTGCTCATTCCGGGACAGGGTGCTGCTCTTCTAGGAACTATTCATATAAACAAAAAACCCCAAACATATTCTGCCCCTAAATAGGTTGCAGCCTAGGATAACCAGCAACGCGTGCAAGGAACTAATGACAACATACTAGTCAGCGTGCAGCGCAGGCAGTGGTCTCAGGACAGAGTCCCTAACCACCATCAGAGTTGTAGGCATCATCAAGACATGTTGAAGCATGACTAGTTTTTTGGCCTGTGCTTCAATTTCAGCTAGAACTTGCTCTGTGCTTTAAGGAATGCCAAAATCATTGTTTTGGGCTGCCTTTACTCTTTGCTTTCTACCCATTGCATCATCATTTTCTCAGTCAGTGGAAGATGCACAGTAGGTACACATCATCAGCTCCTGTCTAACTTGAGCAAGACACTTCAGATACAGCAACAGCGCTGGAGAAGTCCTGGAACCCTACAGAGCCTAACAGGCTTCTCCCAAGAACAGTCTGCTGTGTGTACATACCCTCTTGCCATATCAGGCCTCCACACTCTACTGTAAAACTGAAACCCACTCGGGAATAGCTTTAAACTCAGGTTTTGAAATCCAAGCAGGACCATCCAGAGTAAGAAAGCCTCTTTAACTGGAAGCATAAGTCCACACTACTGCAAGTAATCCCCCTGATTTTCATCCCCACACTAATTAAAAAACTTCCCACGAGAGAAAGATCTACATCCTCAAAACCGCAAGGTAGCATGGATGATTTCCTTCTGCAAGGTGAAGAAGAAAGGAGTTATTTCTACCACTCCCCTACCCTTTTCAGTAGGGCTGTAACAGCAGATAACCATTAGCTTTAGAAAAGTATTTCTCAAAATTCTTACGTTTCTTCAATTCTACAGATCACATTAATACAGCTGTTAAACTCTGGAGAACATATTTCTTCCCATGGTTCTTAGAAGTCCCATTCATAGTTTTCCTCTAGGGTAACAGTAAGGGCCCATATCAACAGAAATAGCAGATACTATAGGCCATTGGTTCATAATTTTGAAAACAGAAATTATGAAGTTCTCCCACATCAGGGTAAAGCTCCCTTGAAGATAAAGCACAGGTCTGCCTTCACTCATGATAAATAGACGCTCGTAATTAGAATAAACAAAAAGCAAAATAAAAGGAACAGCCCTCCATTGTAGAAGCACTTTCAATAATCACCATTATCCATTTCTTAGAAAATATATATTCTTAAAGAATATTTCATCAAAAGCACGGGAATACTGGCAACAAAAACAGAGGACTAAATAAAAAAAGTTTGCCCCGTTACTCATTCAACAGTGCAATGGCTGAATATCTTGCCAAAAGAGGAGAGAGATTCCTGTCATCAGAAGCAGGCAAAAGTTTTCTGAAGTTCACGGAAAGTACTTGACTAATTCACTACAAAAAATAAAGTTAGCATGAGATTTGTTTCAAAATAATACAAAATCAAATATGAAGACTTTTTCAAACATACACTTTCAATTCATATTTGTGAAGAGTCTCAAAATAAGGGCACCATGAAGAAACATAATCATGTTAGGAGATGCCATCTCATTTTCACATGTAGCCAACATCAGACGAAACTGGTACTGTACCTACGTTCACCTATATGTATTTATAATCTATCTATGTCCCTAAGAAGGGAAACAACACAAACTAATGTATGCACACCGTCTACAGAAAATATAAAAGCTGGGTAACTTTCCAGGCAGATTTTAAACAACACAATACTTACATCCACATCCAATAAACCACTGGGGACATTTGATTCGTATCTGCTTGTCCCTAACCAGTTGGAAAAGTTCTTCTCAGTGTTCCCATAGTTGGGCATTTGCAAACTTAGTTCTTTTTTTGCACTATCTGCTTGTGTGTACTTCTCCACAAAACTTGGAAACTTCATATCTGAAAGAGACTGAATTGCAAAGTCAAAATTAACAGTCAATTCAGCAAGTAGACAAAATTTTACATTGTTTCATTTCATGAATTACCTTTATTACCTCGGATTTTTGAGGCATGCCAGAAGGGCCAGAAGCATCCTGTTGTAAAGGAGGCATCCCTGAGGAGTCAGTTGTAAAAGCTGTTGCCGTATTATTTACTGAGGTAACAGAAGGATTAAAAACTCTTTCTTTAGATGTAGAAGACAACAAGCTTGAGAAGAGGGAGCTTTTTTCAAGCCGGGATCTCTTAATTTCACCATCTGTAGCATCGGTGTTCTCTTTTCCATTTACTTCCTGAGTAAAGGCAGGTTCCTCTCTGTTACATGACTGCAGGGCTTTGAATATGATACTTTGCTCTGTTGATGCACGCTTGGGCCTCACTCTGGCTATTGTGTCCAGGCTTTGCATTTTAATTTGTTGGGCTGGTAACAGATCCTGTGTTTTTTCCCTCCTCACACCCAAACCAAAAGTAAACACACTGGGATCAAACACTTTCTCTAAGTTGTCTTCATGAATGGGGGGCATTGCGAAGTGGGGTGCTGGGGACTTGGGAAGCTTTGATCTTTTCTTTTTCTGGGTTAAACAAACTGAGCTGTCCAAGTTTTTTATTGTTTCAGCAAACTTCTTCATGTCGGATGGGGAATCAAAAATGCTATCATCCTCAGCAGATCCATTACAAGTTTTGCCCGGGCTGTTCTGTGTATTGCTGTCTTGCTCTGATATCAATATACTATCTTGACCGCTGTCATCACACTGCAGTGCTGCAAAGCTCAATTCTCCTGGTTTTGTCTTTTTATCGCCATTTTCCATCTTCTTAAATTCTGATTTAGAAACCTGGTGAGATGGTAGAGGACATTTATCATCACTGCCAGGTGATAAAATTTCTGTGCTTGGCAGCATCTTTTCTTCATTTCTGGGGAGTTCTGAGCTTGTGTTATTTCTTTGGCATTCTGAGCTTGTGTTATTTTTTTGATTGGAAGCATCTGGAGCATTTTCACTTTTACTAGGCAAATGCAAAGACAGTTTGAAAGGTGAACTTTCTTTTTTAGTTGTGGTTAATTCTGGATCGGGTTGCTTCAGAGAAACACTACTAGCATCAATTTTGCTGCTTTGGTTAAAAAGGGATATTGCAGCTTTTACTTTAAGTTCTGTTGTCTTCCCAGTATCCTCATAAGAGGCAGAGCCTTCTTCATTTTTGCCTTTTAATTCTGCAGTGCTTTCTTTCTCTGGTATGCCATTCTCAAATAACTTCTGGCGACTGCTTTGCTTATTTAACATTTTATCAGGCTGTTCACTTTCCTTGAGTTGTTTTCCAAATTTCAGCTTTGCTCTGCCAACAAATGTGCTTGGTACGGTACTATTTTTTGAGGCAGGGATGTCAGTAGGCCTCTGGCTCTGGTTAGCGCATTTATTTTCAAACAAGGAAATTTTGTTGGCAATGCTGCTGTTAGTTTTATTAACTGGTTTTTCAAGAGTATCCTGCTCACTTTCTAAACTGTCTTGATTCGTAGGTGCTTTAAAATTCAGCTCTACATTCTTCGGTTTGGCTGGACTACAGGAGGCAAAGTGATACAGAGTTACATCTTTGACTCATCTTGAGAAGACTTATAACAATTTTGAAAACACTACAATGTAGCATTATAATGCAATTTTCCATAGTCATATTCAGTTTAAATTTTGGTATCTCAAAAGGAATTTACTAAAAAAGGAGTAACTATATGAATGACCAAAAAAAATTAGACACTAAATAAGGAGAATACATTTCAAATATGTGTGTAGTGCTTTAATGCTCACTAAAACAAAAAACACAGCAGCCTACAGCATCTGCAGTTGAGGCAGAGAACTTAACTACTTATGACTGACAGACATTAAAATTTCATGGTGAATAGGCAGAATAAATTATACACATGCAATTCCCTACAGAGTTTAGGAAACAAATCTCAATTCATTAAGGTGATAATGAGTTGGTTAACATTTTAATATACCTCTCCAACAAGTTTTGAAGACATCTGCCCAGATTCTTTGCAGCCCTTACACTGCAGAAGCAACCTTAAATCAAGTGAAACACCTCTTCTGGCCTCATTAGTGCTGGTGGAAAAGGCAACTGTCCCCAGTCACTGCACCTCCATTTGGCTAATTGAACACCACACGTGAGGACTCTCCCATTTCCTTCGGGTAAAGTCAGCTAACAATTTAAACTGTGTAAACTAACCCTGCTGATTTTACAAGAATTGAATTAGGAAACACTTACAGAAACTTCTCCATCAGAGTGGACAGAGAAGCATGTACAGTGGCAGAAGGCTGATGACATGCAGCTGAGGGTTTTAAGTCTCCTTCCTCTGAATACCTACATCCAGGAAAAATCATTTGTCCGTGTCACTTGCTACTGCAGGAACAGTATGAACAGCTGTGAAGATGCAGGGCACGTCTTCAAAAGTTATCAGTCAGACATAAGGAGTGTCAAGCAGCCCACCATCACCTCAAAGGCAGATTTGTTCTCCAGAGAGGAATCTGGAGACACTCAGCAATGGGAGAACAGGCAGAAACTGCACTACATGAAAACTGATGATAGTGGGAGGCAAAAGAAACTAGCTTGCAGCAACAGTCTCCAGGGCCTCAAATGCTCTGTCAATCAATGGATGATTCTGGTATTTAAGTGCTTTCTTCTTTAAATCATGTTTACTGAACTCTCAGACAGCTCTTTGGCCCAAGAAAGAAGCATGAGGTACAAGTGAATTAATGTGAAAAACCCAAAACCTGAGATCACTTCCTTCTCCTCTTCCTCAAGAAATCCATCCCAAGTAAGAAAGTAAGCCCTATGAAAGCAAGACTCTCCATTGTACAAGCTTCTTTCCTGGGCAAATGCATGAGGAACAAACTTACTGAACTAACAGAAGGACACCAAAATCAGCTGCCGAAGAATCTATACAGAAAGCAAGTGTTAAAATCACCACTTCTTTTCAGAGCAGACTTCCTAACAATGCTCACTGTAACCACCAGCCTGCTCACGTTGGTTTGCAACTGGAAGATTCTTACAAAGAACACATGATCAATAAAAAATGAAATAGTGAACTTAAGAACAACTAGCCATACTTGAGATAGAAGCTAATAAAACACACGTCAAAAATTTAAGTCTAGAAAGAGAAAAAAATTATTCGTCACACAGCGTAAAATTAAATATATTTAGATCCTACTTTTCATTTCCAGTACGACTGTTCTCCCTAAACTTTTCAAAGTTAAACTATTCTATGATTTTTATTATTGGAAAATGAATATAAGTTGCACGGGGACCTCTAAAGGTCAGCTAGTCCAACTTCCTACTCGTATCAGGGACAGGTTCAAAGTTAGATCAAGTTGCTGCAGGCTTTGTCTGACCAAGTTCCTATTATCTCCAAGGGTTGAGAATTCACAGCCTTACTAGGAAAGCATTGCAGCAGGTCAGCCACTGTCACTGTGAATTATTTTTGCCTCATATCCAATTGAAACTTCACTGTTGCAACTTGCAACCATGGCCACTGTCCCTTCACTGCACACCTCGGGGACGAATATGGCTCTGCCTTCTCCATAATACCTCTGCAGGCAGCAAGAAATGATTGAGGTCTACCCACATCCTTCTCTCCTCTCAGCTGAACAAACCAAGCTTCTTCAGCTTCTCCTCATTCATGGTATGCTCCAGTGCCATCACCTTCTTAATGGCTCACCACTGGACTCATTCCAATCTGTGGACATCTCTCCTGTACCAGGAGAAGCGAGTTGGAGGAGGAGGGAGGGGTATAATTCGATATAATGCCCCAGACACAGCCTCGTGAGCACCAAATATCTTCTCCTTTGACCTGCTGGCTATGCCTCTGCCAGTGTAGCCCAGTACAGGCTTAGCCTTCATCTGCTATAAGGATGCACTACTGACACATGCTGAATTTGCTGTTCACCAGGATCCCTCATGTCCTTCTCTGATAAGAATGAGGTACTCACCCTTTCCTTCTACTGCGTTTTTGAGAGGCATCGCTAATGGCCTAGTTATCTTAACAGACTCATCTCCATACCATCCTTCTGTCAGCCTCACTTGCACTACTACGTGCATTTCTACGTAACAACACACATCTTCCTAGTAAAATCAGTCTCTCGCTGTATGCCTCGACATAAGCCACTTTAATGGTTAACATTGATAGTTATCAGCCACGCCTAAAACCTGTTTTAAATGAACAGCTAACAACTCCAAGGTATAGTTTCAAGCTTTGCAAATTTATGCAGAAATGACCACTTCAGCACTTTGTATTTTACATTCCACAGTATTTCTGCACAGCAGCAGCAGCAAAACTGCTGAGACCAAAGAGCAACAGAAAGCTCAGGCCTGGAGTTCCATTGGCTACAGACAGCCTCCTCTAGCTAATCTTTTCATTACACCTTTTTCCACACTAAGTAATACTGATTTTAAATACAGCCAAAAGACATGCCTCATTGCATGCACCGAGTTTCTAAGCTTGTTTAAAAGGAGGAGATGGTTGGTTTGGGTATCCTTTAAGCCTCCCCTCTAGTTTAGGAAAAAAGCATTGAAAGATGGATTCACTTAACAGCCCAAACGCTTTCTTACAAACAGCCCAGTGTGGCTGACTCCTATTACCCACTGCTGATTTGCAATGCCAGGAACAGGAAGAGACACAAAAGAAATACTGCTGTCCTTCTCTTTGGCTACACCTTGCACCCAACCTGTGGAAGCAGGCAGTTAAACCTCTCCCATTACAGTCATAACTGGAAGGTGAGTCACATAGATGAAGCATACTGCCCAAACGACCACGTCAAGCACGTAATTGATGCCAAAAAACACTGATGCCAAAACATCAGATTGAGGTGAGCAAAGAAAAATGGCATGTTATAACGCAGAATAATTCAACAAGTGGGTATAAATGCAGAGGCAACTACAAAACCACGTCTGAACATCAAATATGACGACTGAAGCCAAGATTTCCGCTAAGCACATCAAAGTAACTACTGCCTGAGGTTTCATTTGCTGATTAAGATGTACCATGAACCTCAGTTCAGTCTCAAACCTGACAGGCTTCCCTTTCAAAAGCTAGAAGCAAAGTATCTTATGACCTCCCTTGCCAGTACACAGACATAAAAGGAGAAGAGACAGAAAATGCTATCACTACTTGCAGGGAACCAGCAAAACTTTTAAAATTGTTTCTAGAGAAACTTGACTCGTAGAATTGGCACAATGTCATTAGTAAGAGACATTACATACTTATAAGTGAAAACTACAAAATTCATCTTGTAGGAGGCAAATGAGTCCAAGAGTAAACGAGCATTTTTCAGCCTGAAAGGGATTCATATGAAGTATCTAACAACAATTTTTCAACCTCTGAAAATGGAAAAGTTATCTGTTCTCTAGTTCAAAGCAATAACGAGAACAAAACCTTCTTCTAATAATGGCACCATCTTTTCCTTTCCCATTTTACAGCAGCTTAATCCACATCCAGGTTTAGAGCTCATACGTCCTGATCAATGACTACAAATTGTACCAGGTAATCTGACTGTATCAATCTGTCTGGCTAAAGAAACTGTGTGGCACTGTGCAATGACAGCTATCAGATACTTTAGGAACCTTGCATGCAACACGATGGTCCCCACCCAGGGCTAAAGTTCCCATAGCAGCAGATAAGGCCAAGACATAAAGTGCTACACACCCCACAAAATCAGGTGGAACAGAACAGGCTGTTTATTCATTAAAATTAAATGTCAGAAAGGATACTTGTCTGTCACTCTACGAGTACAGCAGAAGATAATTCACTGTACAGCAAGCCAAGGAGACAGTCAGAAAAACAAAATCCAGCTACACAAGCATTTATAACTTCATCATCACCAACGACAGTGACACAAAAATATGAAAGCTACCTGTCCATCGAAGTTGTCAAGATACAAAACTTCAGAGATTAAGATTTGTGATCTATACTGCCCAACGGCAAAGCACCACCATGTATAACAATACCACAATTTAATTTCCAGTACTAAGTGCTTTTAATTCGGTTACGAATGAACAAATCCAATGTAAAGTATTACAAATGATGCAAAGGAAATTGTTCCTAATGCTCCTATGCTCCTCTGATGTGGAAAACTTAATTGGGAACATATTAATTTCTTAAGCCATAACTCTTAACACAACTGAACGACAATTCCGAACACTTGGTGTACCTCAGGTGGACCTACAGGATTCAGTGTACTCTGACAGGACCTATAAATGAATGTACCAGAATGAGGAAAGCAACAGCACATAGTACATAGCCACGACAATCAACCAACAGAAATGATGAATGCAATAAAGTGATTCACTGTAGAAGAGAATGTAACAGAACCCAGGAAATTAATTACTGGACTCATACTAGTGATTACAGTGAAAGTTATAAATACATGCACTTCTTCATAATCCTAAGGAAAGCACTGATCACCTCTGTTTGACAGACAACAATTTCTTTGAGGGTAAACCCAAATCCTACAAACTAATATATGCATAATTCTGCAAATGCCTGATGTTATTCACATGCATAAAAATTTCGATGATTCATCCTGCACATACTTACGAAAGCAACTACATATATTCAAATTTCTGGAATGTGATTTATTATATCATTTGAAGGATCAAGTCCTACATTACATCCTACATTTCTTCATAAAATACTAGCAGAAATTACGTTGTTTCAAAGAACAATTTGAACACATTCCTTGTTCAAAGATTTTCACATATCAAATCTTCAACCACAACCGCAGCTGGTTACAGACAGCGAAACTACAGTAAGGTCAATGACAGGCACGCTAATCTGAGCAACGACGGAGGCACTGACAATGGCAACAGCGTAGTTTTTATGTAAGTTAAACTATTCCATATAATGGAACTGACATACAAAGAAATTCCCTATCCATAAAAAACATGGAAAAAAGAATTATTTTTTTAACACATGTAAACTACAGTGCTTGTTAAGTGGTAACTATAATTATGATAAATTTTAAAAAAAAGTGCGGTTCTTAATTGAAAATAGCCTAGATAAGATGATAACAGACACATAGTTAGTGTTCCTATAGAATCCTAAACACAGGTACAGGCAAAATCACAGCTACAGGGATAAGGCAAACTAGTTTATGTTACTTACAGGCTAATCTTTGTTGTGACTGTTCTGGAAGCATCCAAACTCTTCAGCTTCAAGCTGTCTAAATCAGAATTTGTCTGTCTCTCCGCTGGCATACACAGGTCTCCATTTTTAATCCCATCAGTACGCAAGAAAGCTCTTCCATCTGAACCATTACCATGCTTTACTGCCTTGGTCTCATTTCTGCCTTCAGCAAACACCAATGCAGTGTCTTCCGTCTTATCAGCCAAAGAAACTTTGGGAGTCTCCAAGCTGTCTTCCCCAAAAGCCACAGGTACAGCTCCCTTTTCCACCGAAGTTCTTTTTGACATTTGGTTACTCTCTGGTGATGCTAAAGGTTGTCTTTTTGAGGAGTAATCTTTCACCTGACCCTTCAAACCAGTAGGGGAAACAGGGCCAGTGTCTGACTGACTCTTTTTATATGATCTTCTCCTTGCTGGGGTTGTGTTTGAGATCTGCTGCTTGCCTTTGTCAACTTCAGTTTTAGATGCCCCTTTGTGAGCAGATCCAACTTTTAGATCCTGATTATTACCTGGGGAAGAGGAATTTCTTTCAGGAGTCTGCTGAGGAGACTTCACCTTTCTCTCCGAGTTTATTATCTTGTCTGAAAATACCTCAAAAGGGACATCATCCTCAAAAACAGATTCTTCTCTTGCAGTAGCCTCAGTCTGGTTTCTCTCTCCATTTGGAATGTCACTGGACGACTGAGATTTTCTCCTTTTTCCAGATCTTTTATTGGCAGATTTTTTATCCATGGTGTCCGAGTCACTACAGTTTTCTTCTGATGTAACAGTCACTGGTTCATTAAGGAGCTCGTCTGTTTTTCTCAGATAGATATCAACTGTTAACACTCTAGCAGAATGTATGTGTTCACTCGCCGCAGATTCCAACTCGTATGGCAAATCCTTTGGTTTTGCATGCCCAGGCTCCTCAGACACCCACGTGTTCACAAGTTGCTTGTGGCTTAAGATACTCTTTTCTAAGTCTTCACTAGACAAATGTCTCAAGCTCTTTATGAAATCTGGAGTTGTGGAATTATTTATATCTGTGATTGATTCTTTCTCCGGTTCAAGGATTTCCACATTCAGGCTGCTCTCAAAGAAAGAGTTTTTAATGGTTTCACTGCTGCCGCTCCAGTCTGCCGACCACTCGCTGTCAGAAGAGACTCCCCTACTACTCCATTCCGAAATGGTGTCGCGATACAGCGGTCCCACTTCCCCACTGAAATTATACTCCTGCGTCTCACAAACGGCGCTCACGTTTCTCACTTGCTGCTGCACTTGAGGAGCTTCGTGTCCTTCCTTTATGTGCCTACAGTATATCGGCTGCGCTCTGTGAGGAGAGACTGACCTCTCCCCCTTCCGATACGAAGTGTGTTCTACTGAACTTCTGACGTTCTTCCTTTTCCCCGTACCAAACAAATTTCCAAGTCTTTCCAAAACCGGTTTCTTTCTATTCTCTTCTCTAGAAGAATCTGGAAATTGTGAGGTGGACTATAAAAACAAACAAACAAACATTTTGTTAATGCCAAAATTGTTTCTGTAATGCATTTGTTTGTATCAGCACCACCTATAAATTAAAAGGACACAGTGAATGGGAACAAAACAGCTTACTGAGCAATACTAGGTCTTAAAAAAGAAGAAGAAAAACAAAACCCTCAATAAACAAATAAAATCCCAAGATCCTTCTGTATGTTTTTGACTGTGTTTGTTTACAAGTACGCCCATCTTGCCTTACAATACCAGCATTACATGTCCCAAATCTCAAACTTTTGCATAATTAGTTAGCGTCACCCAAAATAATACAGGAACGCATCCTCGTGCCTGCAAGTCCGGGGAAAAAGCGCTTGGTCAAAACTCTCCTTACAAAAACAAAAGTGGGGAGTTGAACTTTTCCCTCCGTACTGGCTGAGTTAGTTTTGACACATGTGCTGGTAGAGAATAGTTTCAAAGGCGAAGTTATATTGCAATTCGTGCACTTCTCGTTAATGAAGGCCAATAAATACTTGAGTTTTGGGCTAGAAAACCCAGAACTGCAACATTTAATGAGCATTACTGGGTCAAACACTACCCTGGATTACTCCTGGTGAAGTTTTCCCTTCCAACTTCTAATTAACATGGTAAACAGGAAACACGCAACAGCATTGCCGAGTTAACACGCGCATATTTGCATTTTAAATATATTAGCACTTTTTACATGCCAGCACGATGAGTGCTTGTTCGGAGATGTCCACTTCAAAACACCGCGAGTATTTCCCACCCCGGCGGCCCGGACGGGCCGAGGGCAGCG